GCTCTCTCTCCTGGTCCACTGTCTGTTGGCTGGGGTTCATGGCCAATGCAGTGGTAGCCAGTGATGTATCTGAGTTCAGTCTGTCGAATGGTGTGGAAAAGTGTAGCCTGCGAGGCGTGGGTCCTCTGTTGGGCCCTTGGTGGGGTGCGGCCTGGACTGTGGTAGCCAGACTCTGGGCCTTGCTTGGATGCTGGGAGGCTGCCCTGTCCGATTGTTCTATGGATAGGGACTGCTCTTGGGATTCATCCTGGCTGTTTGCCTTTTGTGTGGCTTGCTCAACCTGTTTGCGGAAGAGATCGGTCAGCGGTGGTGATCCACTGATGGCTGCTCCTTTGCAAGGTTTCTTCAAAGCTCCAGTGAGGATGATTCGTTGCTGTCCATCCAGGTGCAAACTCAGGCCACATTGGGTGCAGGAGACTTTCTCTCCCTTCTGCCAGAGTGCATGAGAGCTGTGTCCTGAATGTGGTTCAGTGTACGGTTGATCGAGGCACTTGCTGGCCAGGTAGGTCAAGAAAGCTGCTTCATTGACTCTCTTGTGAATGCTGGTTCCACATTTGACACAACGAAGGTAGCCAGTGGTGGCTTCAAATTGGTGCTGAGCGGGCTCGGGCTTGTTCTGAGCTTGTTCCTCCAAAAGGTTCTTTATGACCTGGGCTCTGGTGAGTTTCTTTGGGGGGCTTGGTGAGGGCTGGCCTGTTCAGGGTGCTGTTCATCCAGGGTCAATAGTTGACATTCCTGTTTGAGTCTGAGTTCAATCTCCTGTACAGTAAGCCCTTGGTGTACCCTCAGCCCGCATGCTCCACATTGATAGCCACTTCTGTGTGGCGCCCACCGGTGTTGTGGTGATTGCCATGGTCTGGTGCATTGGCCCACAAGCTGTTTCTTGTATTGTTTTGTGTGCTTGCCAAGTTCTGGTGAATGTAGTGCTCCTTGTCGTTGTAGATCTTTGCCAGCCTCTCAGCTGCATGCCGGTAGATGAGCATGTGGTCTTCATCCAGCACTTGTTGCCACTCTGTGAGCTTCTTGTCATTGAGACTGCTTGCTCGTTCCCATGCAGTCAAAGCTGCATCACGTTGCCTTCTGCGAAGTTGTGGCCGTTGCCCGGTGCTTCTGGGGTCTTGGTGTTTCTACACACATACAAGACTGTGACTCGCTGGTAGTCTTGCTCAGTGACATGTTGTAGAATGTCCTGGTAAGGACCTCGCTGGCGGGGGTTGGTCCACGCAGCCCAAACTGTGGTGAGTTGCGCAATCACACGTACAGTGGTGTTTGTATGCTTGGCCAAAGCTACAAGTCCAGCTAGCAGTGCCCTGGTTTTTGTGCGTGGTGGTTCTGGAATGCCTGTTATGGCTGCCAGTCTTTGCAATTGGCCCATGGACAGATGGTGTATGCAAAGTCCAAACGCCCAAACCTGGCTGCGCACGTCGTAGTTGGATGGTGTGGTATCCAAGGTGGAAGCCCAACCCTGGTATTGGTTTGGGGACAGGATCTGCAGGTCTTGCCATTTGCCGTGCCCTTGGTATGGGTGTGGGTATTGGTGATGTTCTTGTGGTTCCAGTGGTACCCACCCAGAGGTCCATAGCGGTTCTTCATCATGATTCAGGATCCTGTCTGCCCATTCCGGAGGCAGCAATTTGTGTTGTTGTCCTTGATGCCACTTGCGCAGCCAGATGATGTGCTTTGGCGTGGCTGGCGCTTGGCACAGAGGGCATAGCTTCGTGTTGCCTGCTTCTTTGTAATGGATTGCTGCTTGAACCCAAGTCTTGAGGTGCTTGATCATTTGTCTGTATGGGTGCCAGTCGATGCCTGTGAGCAGGTGTTGGTAGTGCGGCTTGTGTGCTAGTCTTGCTGTTCTCTGGTTTCTGGTGTTGTTGGAGGGTTCGTTCAACCTTCCACCATGGGTCTTGGAGGCTGAGCTCATTCTCCTGCAGGATCTGTGTGGCTGGTCTGGTCCATCGATGGAGTTGTTCTACCTGCCAATTCCATTCCAGGAGATACACAATGGTCGCCGCCAGTGGTCCACGGACAGTGTACCATGGATGCTGTTTTGTTTGGAGCTGTTCATGAAGTTGGCTCCAAGCTTGCTCCAGGTGTGTCATCTGGTCGGGTGGTCACTGTTGATAGAGTGTGTGAAAGCCCTTGATGTGCTGGATAAGGACCTGGTCTGCTGGGTCTTGGTACTTGTTGCTGTGCAGATCATAGGTGCTGTCCAGGAGGCCTCCCTTGTGATGGCCTAGATGTGTGGCCATTGCTTGCCTCAGTGCAGTTCTGTAGCGGGGTGAGCCTCAACTCCCCAGAGTGCAACCGGTTGGATTCCTTCTTTGCGCAAGCGGCGGCGGATCTTGAGCGCCGGGATCTTCAGGGATCTTAGCTGATTCTCCGTTGGGTGGCTTTTTGAAACCTCTGTCTTAACACAGGGATCCTGCGTCGTCTGGCTGCCTGATGATCAATGCCCAGATCTCTCATGACCGTGGAGACTGGTGGCTCTTGATCCGTGAGCATCGACCTGAGTGCATGGTCTGTGGCCTTATCAGTGGCAATGAAGGCAGTTATTTTTTTGGGATTGACCTTTAGGCCCATGGCCCATGGCTGTGAGGCGGCTGTGAAGATCTCGGTAAGCCTCGACCGCCTGCTGTGTCACTTGCATGGGTGTGCTGCCCTCCATGTCATAGCCCACATCATCCACCCAGCTGGACAGGTTGATCTGGGGACGTTGTTTTTTCCATGGAATAAGTGCTGGCGCCACCACTTTGGCTAGAAGTGGAGCTTGGGGACATCCAGCCGGTACTCCATGATCCACATGGAAGAAGGGGGTCATCTCTTGTTCGGCAAGTATTGCTTTGGGGCCCGTGTAGAGCTGCGTGGCCAGCTCCAAACGAAGTGGAGGGTAATCCAACTTGATCGCTTCTTCTTGCAACTTGCTGAGCTGGATTGTGTCATAGAAAGTCGACATGTCCATGAGTACCGTGACCCCACTCTTGCGTCTTGCTTTGTGGACCTCTTGTCTCAACAGCCGTTCCAATGCCACATGAAGTACACAAGCGCCTGGTCGCGCGCGGTCATGATCCATGTCTGCAGGGAGAGTTTTCTGCCATTCATCCAGTAACGGCTTCCTCAAACGACGCCGCGCCCTCCAGAGCACCGAGGTCAAAGTGATTGGTCTTTCTATTTTGCTGTTCTTCGGTAACATCGCGACGAGGTGCATTCGCAGTTGTGTAGGCAGTTCAGCTTGCTCCTCCATGGTCTGGTACAACTTTAGCAAGGGTTGCAAAGCCAGCGGTGGTATGCTTCTCATGAGCTGAGTTGATACCGCATCAGGTCCACTGGCCTTGTCCGGTAGGGCTTTGAGTATGTGATGGAGCTTGCCTGCAGTGAGTGGTGGGAGCTGCTGAGCTTGTGTCCTGGCTTCCTCAAGTAGTGACGGCCTGGGCTGCGGGTTGTTGTCTTCTCTGATGTGCCAGAGCCTTCCCCAGTCTTGTAGTCTCTGGTCCATGCGCTGTTGCGTGGGAATGTGTCGGTACGGTCTCTCCCATGCTAGCTCACTTGTCTTGAGGCTTCGGAAGAGTCCTCGGAGGCCTTTCTTGTAGCCCTCTTGAAGCCATTGTTCCCCAAACAGTTTACTGTTGGGGGTTCTCATTCTTTAAAGAATGGTCGCCTTGGTGCTGGATGGTCTGGTCGGGTTCCCGGCCGGCTTGTCTCCCACTTCCTTTCATTTGTCTCCACTTCTTTTCATTTGTCTCCCACTTCTTTTCAGGGGTTGCTTGTAGTCGGGTCCGGCCGGCTTGTCTCCCACTTCCTTGCATTTGTCTCCCATTTTCCCCCAAACAGTTTACTGTTAGGGGTTCTCAATTCTTCCTTAAGATGTGTCCGCCCTTTGTGTCACTGCTCGTGTCCGCCCATTTCCACTGGCCATGTAGCATTTCTATTCATTTGTCTCCCAGTCCCAGGTCTGTCACTGCGTCCGCCCTTTTCCGTTGGCCATGCAACATTTCTATTCATTTGTCTCCCAGTCCGCCCTTTTCCGCTGGCGATGCAGCCACCGGCCACCGCTGAGGGCATGGAGTATACCATCCAAAGCGAGGCTAGGACCGCGCCAAGGCATTCCGTCCACCTCAATCCGCCGATCGGACATCCGTTACTCAGGCATTGTGCTGCTATAATAACATTGACATATATGCCACCAACCTCTATAGCGCTCCCTTTTTGGAACAGCCAACTCACAGAGATTTATGACCAAGTCAGGCAGACATGCTTTTTTGAACCTGATGAGCCCGGTTGGTCTTAGAGTGTTCCTTGCTGGCATCTTTGCATCTCAAGCTAGTATACTCGGGCCGTGAGCGTGCAAGACAGACGAAGCAATGAACATATCGGGCACAGCAAATTTCTCAGACAAGACGCGCGCAGCTTCGATTTTGCCCACGTCATGCCAGCTGCTGATGAGCTCTCCGACAAGGATGCTGCATGCCTCATGTCCGAGGCGCTGGCTGTTGTGAAGGACAACTTTGCACCAGAGCATTTGCCAAAATGCATCCACGACTACTTGCTGCCCATTAGCGTGGCGAGTTGCCAGGGGCTCTTCTCCACCACCATGATGTTTGCCGCAGCAACGCCAGCCTTGACGAACGGCGCGTCCATACAGCTGTAGACTCTAGACACAAAAGCCTTCGCCGCTAAGCACGCTCATGTTCCACATTGCCCGCCCGCAGAAGGGTAAGAGTCGCTGGTTTCAGGCGGTCGAAATGTTGTACGAGCCTTGGCTTTCTGGATATACCTTTTCGCCCTTATGTGAGGTGTGTGGGTTGATTATAAAGCTGTGCGCAGCTTTAGCCGCAGCTGTTCTTTTTCATGTCGGTTGTGCCAGTCCAGGAGATGGCCGACGCTTGCGTTCTTACCATGGCGGAAGAGCATATGGCCACATTGGTGGCGAACGCGGAGGGGGAGTTGCGAGTGCCTTTCGCAGTCCGCGAATTTTTCTTCAGGTGTTCTACCGATTCCCACAGATGGAGTTTGGCGCCAGAAAGGAAAAGGAGGGACGGCGCCTGTGGTATGGCCAAGCGTTCAATTTAGATGAAGCTTCTGAATGGCTTAAGAACCTCTCTCTCATTGGCTGTCCAGGTGAAAAGTCTAAAGCTACGAGCATCAACCCGCATACATCTACACTCAACACTCTGATTGCGAGGGGAAAGACAAAGCGTGCCGCCAGGACATCTACATCGTATGAAGGCAAGGCTTCCCAGCACGTCAGCTTCTCCGTCTTGGGCAATGGACACCCAACCAGAATCATTGCTATGGAAAGGAACCTGGAAGGCCAGCATACGGCTGCAACCCGTGAACGCTTCATGATGTGCGTCAACTCGTCTGTGGCACGGCGTGATGCCTTGCCAGAGAGCATGTTGGTGGCTGACCCAGATTTGCCCGCATTTACATGGCTCCCCCTGACTACCTTGCAAGCTGCCATTTTCAAGCGGGAAGGCGTTGTCAACAACCCGGAATACTTCGCCAACTCCGTGGCTGAATCGCAGGATGCTGACCAAGAAGGCTACCCCATCGCCTTTCCCGATGGGGTCCCTTCACGGATTCGCTACAAGGTGCAAACCGATGACAGAGGTGCCTTGGCTTGGATCTTGACATGTTGTGGCGGAGAAGTCTTCATGGCGCTATATATATATATATATTGGGCTGGCGAACAAAAAATGTCAAGACGGTCCCCCGCTGCTTTCCCCCATAAGGGTGCAACCTATATAACTTTCAAGCTTTTTGTTGTTGGCGCCCAGGACAAAACCTGGGAATGCAGACTGAGTTCCGTATTTCGGGCCGATGGCATATGAAGGATCCCACTGACCGCATCCAGTTGGGGGCAAAAAGGGTCACCGAGCATTTCCGGTCTCGGCCGCACTCGGTGCTTGCAATGGAAGAGGTTGCCCGTAAACTCTTGCTCGGCTGCTCCGATTGGTTTGGTTCCTCTTTGCGCTTGCGCAGTTTCTTTTTCCCTGCAAGACCACCACCAGATGAACCCATGCGCAGCGCGGAGTTTTTTGGGGGGTGAAGTTGCGCACTCAAGGTACCCAGGCGGGGCAAAATGTGCGAGCGTCCACAGTTGGAGGCGCTGCATGCCGGGGCTGCAGCGCATCATGGACAAATGTCTGCCGCCATTGCTGTGCTGGCGCTGGCCAGTGGCTCTGGCTCTTTCGATGCTGCTGGCAACCTTATGGTGACTGCTGAGCATGCGCAGGCGCAATTTGCTCAGTGTTTTCACTTCAGGTGGCCAGTCGGCTGGTCGAGCTCAACCTTCAGATTCGGCGCGCTTTCCGCGGCCCCTTGCCACCTTCTGGGGAGAGGCCAGCTGATAGCGACAGTGATCCAGAATGCATTGCCAAGCCAGTGCACGGTTTTGGTTCCTTTGCCGCGCCTGCTGCTACCCAGCCATGTCCAGCCCTTCACACAGACGAGGCGAGCGTGCCCGTCGCAGAGGCAGCGGTTGAAGAGCCCGACCATCAACCTGTACCTGTCCCTTTGGCGGAAACGGAGCCTGAAGATGAGCGTGCAGAAGATGTTTCGGAGGCGGCTTTGACGTTTGACCAACTCTTGCCAGAAGAACAGTTCTTCCAACGAGGCCTGGGTGAAGGAGACGCGATGATCTTTGATGATAGCAAGTTCAAAGACCAAGCCCTCCTCCGGAAAGTTTTGTTGAGCGGGCAGAGCGAGCTCAAGCTCAGTCGTGTTGTCGACCTGTACCACCATGGTTGACTCAACCGATGCCAAACGTCGGAAAGTCCGACCTAGGCTCGCCCAGGCCGGGGGGTATAGTGTCCATGTTGCGCGCGCGTTCAGCTTTTGCTGCCTTTCCTTGCCCTGTGGCAGGTGAAGGAAGTTTTGGGCGCTGCTTCTCGCCGCTTTCCTCGCCTCGGGTACCTCCACCTGCCGACTCAGAAGAAAGAAGAAGGCAGTGTCAAGTGTCAAGTTGAGAACATGGTCTGCAAGCCCTGCCAACCAGATCCTCTTCCATAACGAGTCCATGAAGGCCTGCCGGGTTCGTGAGCTGTCCAAACGCCGTGCGCTCTGGCACGATCGCCAGAAACGCGACAGGCCGCAGAGGAGCCTCCCAGATCGGCCCCGCCGCCGATCCCCAGTCGGCCTGCAGGTGCCTAGACGTCTGTTTGATCACCAAAGTGGTGATCGTGGGTCGTGAGGCCTCATGGCCGTGAAAACCCCATATGAGCGTGAAAAGGGAGGGCGGGTGGGTATGGCCGTGAAAACACTGAGATGGCTGTGGGCCTGTCTGCCCATCTAGTGCATAACTTGCTAGCTATGTTGCTTGAGCTGGCTTTGTGCGGAAAAGTGCATATTGCGTGGAAAAATGCATGTTGCGTAGAAACACTGGAGTTTTTTTGCTCAAACTATTTCATGCGTTTAACTATGGGGCCTTGTTTTGCTAACCCACACGCTGGAAAGGCCGCTGCTTTCCACACACGTCCTATATGTAGTATGTATGCAATATACCCATAGAATCCCAGAGGTATTAGTTGTGAAGTTGGAGGGACACAGAGGTTTGTTGCGAAGTTGGAGAGTGTCCCATAAGCCCTGCAAGAACACTTTAAAGCTGTTTTCCGTGTCCGTCGATCGTCCGTCGATCGTCCACCGATCGTCCGTCGATCGTCCGTCGATCGTCGATCGGCCATGCGCACACCTCGACTTGATCGGTGCAGCAGTACGTTTCTGTAGTTCATGTATAGAGCAGCTACATAGAAACATATACGTTATATGTCAAGTCATGGTGACTGCGCGAACCACGGTGAAACAATTTTTGGCCGATCACCTGGCCACATATATCCTGACAACCCGGGCCAACATGGGTCGCAAAGCAATACTTGCATACAGATTTTTTCAACTCACCCAATCTTCCGTTCAAACCCGTTGTCTTCGTTCGCGGCCATGTGCAAATTTGGAGCATTGGCCTGGACCCCACGCGCTGGGCTCCCAGTCCACATTCCACATGCAGAGAAGCAAGACTGTGGCCCAAGGCCAAAAAGGATTTGTTAGATTTTGTTACAGTTCTTGTTTTACCCAAAAATATCGACAGGCAGGCTTTGAGGATTGTGGCTCGGGGATGGTTCTCAGCCCCGCTCACACTTCCAAGGTCTCCTGTGGCCGACGCGCGTCAGAGAACTGAGGAGGCCGGCCCTCATTTCTTTTGGGCGCAACACTATTTTTTGGTGTGAATGGCTAACCAACTTGGGCCCTGGGTTGGTTATCGAACATCTGCCAGGTGACATGAGTGGGCGCCTTTGCCTTTGGCATACGGAAGGTGCCCAACCCGCTGGTGCTGCGACCTGTGGGCGCACGACCAAAGACGTGAACTCGGGATGTTCATGATTGAATGCCATTGTGTTCACAGCCATTTTGGCTTTTGGGGGTGGGGCTTGCAGCGTATCCTGTAGTGGTGGGCGATAGCTATGGGCAGATTATTGAAGATCTACGCTGAGTGTCCCCAAAGATATTTAGCATTCGCAGTTGCTTTCGATGAAGATGCCTTCTTGAAGTCAGCTATTTGTTCGCAACAAATCCTGTGAAGTTGGATTGCATGTGTTTTCAGAGTTTTCACATTTGGTCCAAAACTCTTTGTGGGTCCACTGAGGCTGGTCTTGGTTTCCTCCATGACCATAGTGGCAAACTATATACGCGGCATAAGTGCTCCCTGAAGGACATTGTTGTGAACAAACAGGCTCACCTGATCCCACTAGAGTCAAGTTGCAACAAACAACACTTTGGCTTGGTGATTTTGTAATTATGACTTGGCAGGCCGTGATGGCCGTTTTTCGAGGTCTCAAGAAGTACCCAGCACCGCAAGGCATGAACATGTACCGTTTGTCGGCACACGAGCTGTGCAAGGCATTGTTAGCTTTTTTTGACGGTGGGGGGTACTGGCCAAGTGGTTTGCACTCGCAAATACCTGCTTGTCAAGAATGGGCTTTGAAAACAGCAAGAGGATTGGTGAAACTGGCCCACTGGTCTCTTTTAGAAACTTTTTGCTATATATAGGGCTGATAATTATTGGGGTGCATTCCCCTCCCCCAAGAAGGACTTCCCATATGATCGTTTTGCACATGTGAGGTTAGCCGAATGCGGCGGCTCATCACTCGTGCGCCCATTTCCAAGATGTCAAAACTAAATGAAATCAGGGATGAGATCACAGCCTTGAAGCTGCCCGCTGCAGCTTTGCAAGATGAAACTTAGCAAACATACTCAAACATATCTCGTACAATTGTACGTATGTGACCAGGTTTGTTGTTTCAACAAGCATGCATTTAAGCAACTCCCCCTCTTTCACATGTGCTCCTCAGGATGGGGATGATGGGAGTGACACCGGTACATCCACGACCAATTCCGATATCTCTGCCCTGAGCGCCTCCTCCAAATCCAGCCCGGCCATCGATCTTGAGAGCCTGAGCAGGAAGGACGACAGGCTTTGCAGACTGATCCAGCAAGCGCAGGATCAGCGGAGGTTGGCGAATCGTTCCCCCTCAACTTCAGCTTCAAGTTGTGAGTGCAAACCTTCCAAACCAGCTTTCACACCAACTCCTACTCTTGGTGCTTCGTCTCCAGGGATTGCTGACGTTGTAGCCAGGGTCAAGGGCCTACGTGTGGCTTCCCGTGATTCGGACACTTCCTCTGATGCGCAAACAAAAGGGGCGACGTCAAAACCCAAAGCTGGTCTTCCTACAAACCGTGCTTTGCTACCGGATTTTGTTTCTTTCCTATACATGTGAAGAGTTTTGTTTTTGGGATTAGGGAATGCGCTTTTGATGTTCTAGCCCGGCCAGGTTTCAACTTCTCATGCTCAGGTTTTGGCCTCCATTGAGGACAAGATGAACAAGGCAAAACAGCAACAGCCGGTTGCTTTTGCGGTTTCATCGCAATACAAAAGAAACATGGATGGGATGGCGATTGACCCACAGGATGACCCAGATGTTGAGGGAACACCTGCCGCTATGGTGAGTGGGGCAGGTGGGGATGGAGCGAAAAAGAAAAAACAGAAATGCAAGAATGCCAAGAGGAAGAAACAGAAGGCTGTACTTCCAAAGGCTCATCAGAATACGCAGGATGTTGCGGAGGCAAGTAAGAACTTGGTCGAGCATATCACCTACAAGCCAGGGGAATTTGCATCAATCCAGTCTGCGTACATTGAGGAATACATGGCTGGGGAGAAAGCCGCAGGCCGGAAGGTCTCCCGAGCGGCTGCGCTGAGCTCTTGGCGTGAATCGGCGAAACGCGCCATGATTCTTTCTAGCCTGAGCGTTTCGGAACTCAAGAAGCGGAGGTTTATTCCCAAGGGTTGTATGACCAACCCTTTCAAAGAGCGTATTGACCAAATGGTCAGTTGATATGTGTTGGGGTGCTTTGAAAATGAACAACAACACCTTCCACTGTCTGATCTCGAAACCATTATTGGGGTGGTCTGTGGTCTTTGGGTTGCAAAGCTACAGTCATCATTAAGACGTGTAGAGATTGTATCTGATCAGCTAGTGGAAGGTTTTGCCGTTTGCGCTCGTGGACTAACTAGACTAGCAGTGATGGACACACGTCAGCTAAACAGGGTTTGCTGTGCACACTGTAGCTTTCTTGGGGTTCCAGATATAGTGTGCGTTGCACTACCTGTGGCCAAAGCTATGGTGGTGTCTGAATTGCTGACTTGGTCTGTACCTCCCAAACTCGTGGTGGTGGTGCTACTCCTTCTTTGGAACAGCAAAGTGGTGACAACTCAGGACCTTCCATGTTGACTTCAGCACTTGCCCAAACTAGTATAGATTTTGTGAATTGGCAACGCAATAATACCATATAATACCTACATAAATACATATAATATCATATATATAATTCAAAGAATATACAAAGAGATAGGGAGAGAGATGGAGAGAGGTATATGGTTAGAGGGGACTTCCAGGACTTAGACTTCACGGAGATTTTCAGCGGCGCTGGAGCTGTTACCCGTGGCTGCTGGGCCGCCACTTGGTCCCGATCTGTGAAAAGAGATCTTGAACTTGGAATTGTGGTGGTGCAAAAAAAAGTTCACACATCGGGCCTGTGGGATGTGCCATATGAGGTGTTCCCAAAAAGGTGTTCTTTTCATATCTTTGGGAGTCCTTCAACTTCCTTCCCCCCTCCCGGCCACCAAAAGTGGTTCCAGAGGGCCCTTGACCAGCGGACGTCCAAGGAGGGCCTGTCGGGCACAGCGTTGGACACTGAATACGACCTGCGCTCCATGGACCTATGCTCAAATGCCGGCTTTGCGCCGCTGGGATTCATAACATGGTTCTAGGTGGGAATAACATGAAAGACTATGAAGGAATGTCTGATGACCACATGCCTTGAGGCTAGCGGTGGCTCAGATTCTTCGGTGCAAACCTGGGGGCTTCGTTCTCTTAGCACTTGTGTGCCGTTCATTCTCTGTGATGTGCTGGGCCTAGTGTGTTCGGTGCTGTTGAACACATGCTACTGTGCGCTGTCTCAAGATGTTGTCCACAGAAGTGTGCACATAAGGAGTCGGTATACATCAGGGCGGACCTATTTGACACCGCATGGAAGTGGTCGCCCTTTCGTTGTTGAGGGGAATCTATTGAGTGCACGGGTGGCCCTACTCATCCACTTGTGCACTGCTCGAGGCCTACGTTGGCTACTTGAGCAGCCATTAGGGACCATCGTGAACGCCATGCCTTGGGTTCAACGTCTCTGGGAATATGTCCAGGCTT